CCCCCCCCCCCCCCCCCCCCCCCCTGTAAGGAGCGAGTGCCCGTACGAATTTTCGTTTCGGTGCTTGTTGAAAGAGTCAATAAAAAAGCGAACGCACAAATTTCAGGAAATTTCCGTGAGGCACATATATATCGTGAAAAGGAAGATCATCGTCCACTGGCATACACTAAAAATATCATAGCGATGATCCCAGAGGCTCGAGAGGATGTGGAAACGTCGTCCATTATTTCAGCGTTTGTAATAGGGGTTGTTTGTAGTGAGCAGCTATTAAATTCATAAAAAATTGTTCTGTTAAAAATAGTTTAGCATATAGAAAGTGTCTAGGTGAGCTGCCAATCTCAAATTAGCTTTTGTTTTCGTGGGTGCCCTTGTCCTCCACGTAAATCGTCACCTTCATGTGTTTGTCTTCAGATGGTTTCGATATAGTCAGTACGTATAATCACTAGGTTGGGTGGTGAGGCACGTTTGCAATGCCGAATTCACTGTTCGCGCCGTTGCTCAAGGGTCCTTATGCGTTTCTGCGAAAGATTTTAGATTGATTGTATCGAGCTTGTAAACTTAAGCCCTAACTAGAGGTTTATCGTCGAAATCTGTCATTAGCTCCTTGATCTTGTCACTTGGTCATTACCCTGAAGTCACGTGAAATTCCACTGCCGTTCAGGTTTTTCAAGTGGAACTCTTTATCAAATCAACGACCTAACGTTTCGACATAGACGTCTTCAGAGGCCTAAACGCAACTCGAGATTATTTACATTATCCACAAAGCATTTAACCCATCTGGCAAAACGTCACTGTTTTGCTAACTTAATTAAACGGATTGGAGAACTTCCCACCTATGAAATGAAACAGATAATGCCAAGATCAAAACAAGTGGGAAGTTGGAAACTAAGTGTTTATGATTTTCGAGATGATGTAATGTTCCCCAACACTTGTAAAGTTCTGTCTGTCAACATTATTTTCCCACAACTAATCTTATTCATTTCAGGATATGTTGCTAAAATGAAGAACTATCATGAACTTTCACCTGACAAAAAGGAGCTAGTTTTGACGTACGCCTTACTACGCGCTCAAGAGGCAGCTTACTACACAGTGGCAACGGCTACGGAGTTTTCAGAAGATAATAAGAGAAATGAGGGAGTATCCTATTCTTATTCATAGCTAATTATCGCGCAACTTTATTACCAGTGCTGAATTGCTTCTCTTTTTTAGTTAATTGTGCAAATGCAGTTTATAATTGTATGCGGTTAGAGGCTTCACTTCCTACAAAGTAGAACAAAATCATGGTGAACAAGGAATTGATGTCTAAGGATGTCTTGAGGCACTGATCAATCTTGTCTGAGGGATGCTCCACGCATTCGACTTTCATTTGGAATCACAGTGTGGTATTTGACTGCGTATGTGGCCTATACATGACTAGCCAGCCGGTGTGCATGTCAGTACTTCTATCCTCCCAAACAAGTCTGGTACCCGTTGTGACCCAGCGGGGATGAAAGGCTTGGTTGGCTTAGGCGGAAATCGATCCGGGGTTAGCACCCGTGACTATAGCGCGCCACTTGCCGCCACACCATTTTCGCCCTGAACAAGGAATTACGCCAATAAAACAATTAAAATCAAAACAGAATGGAAGTTCAGCAGAGCGAACGAACGTCAATACTTGTCATATGGAATGGAATGCAAGGAAACGATAGAAATCTATCTTTGCATGTCCACACGGTCCTTGAGAGGAGGTGAGGCAGTCTTGGTGGCGCCTTATAGGCTATGACCCCGGGCTTCCTGCGGTGTTCTTCCCAACTTCCAAAAATTTTACGAGGTTTTGTGCACGTTTTGGTTTGCGGAAGGTCGCCTTTTGTGTCATTATAATGATTTGCCAATAATGAATGTGTGGCGTTGCCATGACAAAAAATGCTGGGTTGGCGACTAAGTAACTGCGTACTTTTCTATGTATTTCAAACATTTATCCAAAGCGTAACTATCTGGTTTTGCAGGGCGATTAATGCTTATAGATTTGTAGATTAAAATGGCAACGTTTTTCTAGAATATAGGCTAATACTTAGGTGCCACTAAGCCTAGTTCCGCAATAACGACATACAGGATAATCGACACCTGTCCCTTGCAAGTGATGAGCACAGTCACCAAATTTTCAGCTGTAACCGCGCAGACGATTTTCAGTCGTGTCAACCTATCGATTCCTTCGAAACAGAAATTCTTCTAACTGCGTAATCTGCGGAGTCAATCGGATGATGAACTCTGCCATTCACGAAAATTGTATAATCACTATATACCAAAACTGCCATATGACAAAACTGTACCAAAACTTTGACCATATTGTTCAGAACGAATTATGAAATTTCCAGGAAGCTAATTCACTCATATCGGATGTCGAAATCGAGCGTGGATCTGATAGTATTCTGAAGGGAGTGAACTTTAGAAGTGCACAGAACATGACCAAAGTACGTCTATGGTTTCAGTCAAACATTGTTATTTTGTAGAAAATGAATAGATCTCCAGTACTAATACTGTATTGTAAATAGTAGAACAATCAATCAAATGTTATATAATATACGATATTAGTGATCTGTAACAATAACATATGTTGTTAATTAAACAGCAGATAGTGGATTACAGATTTCGTTAAGTAAAATTCCCCACAGCAACCGTTTCGATAGCGCAGGGTGGATTCCTATGTAGAGAGACCCCATTTTTATACTGTTCGCATGTAGAAATTCTCATTAGACACTCCACTCTTCGACTATATATATTCCAAAAATTAGACATGTGTCAATTAACACAAAAAAATGTGCCACATCGCACGGAAAAACAGCACATTCCATGCATATCCTTTTTCAAAGTATGATACGTCCAAATGGACGGGTACTGTTCTCTAGCTGTACACGTGATGATGACGGCGTACTCAGTGCGGGTCGATTTACAAGCTGCAAAGTTCAGGTAGGTGGAGACCGTGTGACCACTATGTTCACGGTATCGTCTTCCTTACAACATGAAGAAGTGTTTTCTGTGGCAATGTCACGCCTTCATAAATCGTAAGTGAGCGATCAGTATAAGTTTCTTTAAATTTTAAAGGAAACAAAGGCTAACAATGAATAAAAAGTGTTGAAATCCTTTTGAATTCAGATTCAACGATAGCAACGGTGATACATGGGCATATCCTCATTTCGTTGAAATGTCTGCTGAAGGGGTAGCTAAGCGTTCGAGGCCTTTTACATCGATGGCGGACGTCTTGTTGTATCGGAAACGATATGACAACACCACCATGGTATTTTTCATTACCTTATTTTCCTTAAACCCAATAATTATTAGAGGGTCGTTTGAAACAAACTAATAAATTTAGTACTGGTGAATTTAATTTCAAATTGATCAGTACGCCTGACCGACCTTTAACCATCTTTGAACTTTTATTTGAATAAGCTCAGCGCACAGTTATTTGGGCGCGGATGAAATGGGCAACTTTTTTGCTTTCAGTTTTTTTCGTTTGTCTCAGTATCCGGTTCGATTCGTACTGTAGAAGCAGCAGCGTCAGTATCGGTTCGAATGTTGATTGAAGAAAAGACACCAGCTGAGGCCATCAGGTCGCCGGCTGCACTGTACGACCCAAGAGACAACAAGTTCTACTGCGAGCATGACCAGGTGAAATATAGCCTTCATTAATCGAGAACGTCGTGTCGAAACTGTTTTATCTTACTGGGCGGTGTAACCTCGAAGGCGGTTCTGCCTCGTGGACGGGTTCACCCATGAAGGGCCAACAAGATCGCCTCGTTCACATGGCTCGCGGCGGACTACGCAGAAAATTCCAGAACGTTTGAAAGAAGTTCAAGCTGGCTAAATTCACTCTGTGTCGTGAATATATTAGTTTCAAACAGCGTTCCACCTACTCCTTCAATTCCTGCATAGAGATGAGGTGGATAATTACTCAGGGAGAGATAAACAAACACAAATAGACAAGTACAGTTTACTTACAAGATATACGAATTATACACGTGACTTAATTGTTTGTCTGGTGGGGTTCTTACGTGCGGAGGCTATACATTGGTCTGCTACTGAAATAATCGATCCCGACAGTTTTGTTATGTGAGATGGCGAACGCGAACGCTTGTCGGCTGGTAACGTGCCGACGCTAAGTCTATTACAATTATTGAATACATAGTATAGTTTTTTTTTTGCAGGAATTTCGAGAGCGACTATATTTGAAGTACAAAATTGTATGCGAAGACATGAAGACGGGGGACAAGGAAATACAAGATCGGGTGGTTATGGCTATGAAGATCCAGGAAAAGAATGTCGGCTATTCAGACACAGTCATGACAGCTTCTGTGTCACGACAACCTATGGAATACAATTATCCGGTTGGTTACTGAGAAAAAACGAATCGTTCCCGCTGAAAATAGTGAGAAACCTGAGTTTCTCGTACTTATTAACAGTTGCTAGGTGATTTACAAAACATATTGTTTGTATTTTGCCTGTCTTTGTTCGTTTCCTCGTCTTATTGTTAGTAATCATTTCTGGCTGTTTTCTCTAATGAATTATTTGATATCGAAGTGATATCACTTTTTTAGACGCCAATTATTGAAAATAGGCTTGTTGTTGTTCCGTCAAATGATGTTTCGATGCTTATTGAATCCTTTCGTTAACTTTTTCTTTCAGGATTTTTCCACTTTTACAAATAAGCTCATAGTGTGTTTCAATTCCACAATATACTTAATGTAAGTGAGCGCATTCATAGTAGATGCGTTTCGGCGCAACTAATCTGTTGTACGCGTAAAAATACCAACTGGCCTACGTCTTTTCACGCAGAAAAATACGTAAAAACACAGTCGGATGCTTCAAAACGGACTAGTGTGCGCGACTGTTCACGTGTTGACAACGCAGGAATCCAGTGATCATGCGCCTACACGAATGGCTGCTTTCACACTTCAAGGAGTGACGGTACAGAGCGGAATGTATCAAAGAGAATCCTCCGAATTCTGCAGAATTTCTGTAGAAAATACATTTTACTTCACGGCATAATCTCATTTGAATGCCCAGATTTTCACCCGCCACATATACGACGCATGAAAAAGTGACTCTGGGCAAGGAGGGTGCCCTGGTTTCCTGGCAGCTAGGGGTCACGTGGTGCATTTTTGAAAATGGCGCGCAGACAATATCGCGCTCCAACGCCAGAGGAACAGAAGGCAAATAACTGAAACCGCCACGCAGCCGCACGCGGGTGGCGGAGGATGCTGTCTGATACATTCCGCTCTGTAGCACCACTCCACTTCAAGGACTCGTCCG